AGAGAGAGAGAGAGAGAGAGAGAGAGAGAGAGAGAGAGAGAGAAGTAGTTTACCTTTACTGCGGATTGCCCACCCAAAGATTGTATACTCTGATGAACTACGTATTCACTATCAACTACCCCTACATTTTTCGTGCGATCCCCCTGAAGAAAAAAAAAGGATATAATAATGCTAGTATTAAAAAAAATGATTTATTATTGTAAAATGTTTGTGAAAAGACTACAATAAGAGGTGTTGCATATAAGGAAAAATAGTAAAAAACAGTTGGCTTACCTGTGCACAATAGCCGAGTTTCATGTCCATGCCCCATCCATGAACGAGGTCATTCTGAAAAAGGGAAAAATGATGCAAGAATTATTGGGAATAAGTAGAAAAACAAATGTCGGTATTTATGAGTAAATTTCATTATTCATCTAGTAAAATGAAAAAAAATAAAATAAAAAAATACCTGTATCAAATGCCAGGCACACTGCCATGCTGACCTGGAAAAAACAGGAGCCATTCCTTCCACAAACCTGTAAAATATATAAATATAAATAAATAAAAATAAATACATCTTGAGCAACCAGAGTCTCTTTTCTGCATGGAAAAACATCAACAATATAAAAGAACAAAGGCATATAAGGTCCATTTTTCACTGCATGTAATGGCTTATCAAATAAAATAAACTGTGAGAGCTCGCTTAATGAATGTGGCGAGCGGAGATTTTGTGTCAAGTAAATATATTATGAGGGAGCAGTATTTAGTAACAGTGTCTTTCCGGTATAGTTTATTACAGAAAGACCCAGTTATAATTCAAAATTAAATGTATCCCACCAACATTTTGTTATCCTTTCCCTTTCCTTAATGAATTGCAAACTCAACGGATTGATATTTGCTAAGCACGTGTTTGAAATAAACCTTAGGTCCGAAGATAAAAACGGGTTCTCACCCGGTGCATGGTGGGCCCTCACTATCATCTGAACATTTGGTACTACCTCTATCTTCATAGACTCTTCTGCTTAAGATAGAATGTTTAAGAACCAGAGGCACCATAATACCAAACATTTTAATTACGGTACAATTTGCATGCGAAGTTACCTGTGGAATATTTTCATTCGGTTTCTAATTGTGATCCTATGGTGTATACCGGTTGAATTCGGGTCCAACGCTGGCTGAGATATTTCAAGTCCAGATGATTTGACAATGTCCAGGTACCTGATCAAAAAGGGAGAAGTTTGAGTAACAATGAATGCACCATATGAGGTATGTGGTGCCTTAAATATATAGAAACGTTTTTTTTCTTGCGGATGTGACTTTTAATCAAGATTATAAAAATGTTGCTATATGAATAAAGATCGCAAGATGAATACTTTCATCATTTACTAGAAACAGAACGTTGGGTGTTCATAACTGAACCAAGAAAAGGTTTCAGAATGAGAAATAGTAACCGGCACCTTCATCGAGAAAAGAATAGTCAGAAAAAATGTGAGATAATCATCATCTGATGAAAATATTTGATACAATGAAATTGACTTCCGGGAAAAATGATGGAGAAAAAATAAAATAACTGATGCAAATAGCACCTTCCAGGGTGGAAATGCTCTACCCCCAAATCTTCATCCCAGAGGAATATGTAATCATAACTAGACACGACAGCTGGATGGAAAAAGCGTTTTGCAAACCACCTGAACATTGGAAAAAAGTAAAAATAAGGAAAATACAAAGCCGAATTACACAATACAGTCGAAAATTATGACATGCAAAGAGTCATTAGAATATAAAGTTGTACCATTTTGTTTGGTTGTGAGCGACTATATGTACAGCTTCACTACTCCACTCCAGGTTTGACCACCCATTCAAGTTTCCATCATAATGGAACAGCACAATGGTAAAATTTTCTGAAAGAAACTGAACAAAGAAGAAAGAGATCAGCGATGGACCAAATATATTTTGTATAGTCAAAACAATTTCCAGTGTTAAAACCCAAATCCAGTGCAGTACCTTTTGAACCACGGCATTGACATTATTCTTTTGTTTAATTCCAACAGGCATTGCTAGCAAATTGTAAGAGCGCTGTACACTTTGCTGAAAATTCAGAAAAATAAATAAATAAATATGGATTAGAGATTGATTATACAAGTCCATCACACACAAAGGTACAATGCAGACAACGATAAAAATCGTCTTACGTATTCTTATTGCAATTCATGTCAAGTAATACCTTTGATTTAGAACTACTCCATAAAGGCTTTAATTCCAGGTCTGACGTTGCTTCAATGATTCCACGAGGCAAACCATTTAAGCCAGCGGTGACCACATCTGGGTCCTGTGTATAAATTAACTTCAACTCAACAACAGAAATTTTAAAAATTAAACAAAATAAGTATGAAAAGAGAAGAAGGGACAAGAACAAAAGAATAAAACCTTCATATTGTAACTCAAGACGTAGTTTTACGGGAAAGTAAAAATAATTAGGCAGGGTATGCAATATTAAGATATTTACCTTTGATGTTTCGAAAGGGTATAATTTCGAGTCCATCTGATATAAGGTGGCAAAGAAGGGAAGAAAAATAATCATGAAATGATGAAGAAGACTTTAAAAGAACACTTAGGGTATCAATGCCAATAATCAATATCTTTCAGTGAATAAAAAATAAAAATGAAGCAGTGTCTAGTGTCTACTGTACCTCTGCCTGTTGATACTGGTAATTTGTTGTCCTATATATGATGAACAACATTACCGTACAAACAAATCCCAAAAATGGAAGCTGTTTTGTCTTTGCTCCACATACCTGCTGCAGTTCGATATTTAAATTGAACATTTTCTTTTCAATTTTTAATGCTACTGCTTCTATTTAACGAAGTTGGAAAACTAAAATTTATTCAAGAAAATATACCCCATCAAATAAGAAGTGTTGTTTCTTCATCATCCACCTCCATGACGATGATCCTTTCATAGGTGGCTATGGGGTTCGGCTGATGCTCACCATATACCAGACTACAATATTCGCATGAATATCTCTTGTTATAACTTATATGTTAATATGATAAAGCAAACCTCCAAAAGCATCAGAATCTAACCAACACATCACTTTGTCATGAGAGATAAATAACAACCATCCTAAGCTACACCTTTGCCAAAAGTCATCATCATAATTGAAGGCATAAAACAAGCTTATCCTAAACCAAATTTGACATAACCACAAGAAAGCACCCTTGGGCACAATTAACCAAAGAAAGGAAAAAACAATGTTATTCCAAACATTGTGAGAATGACAAACAGAGCATGGTGCAGTTTATAATACTCGTGTCATATTTCTAAAATGCAGCTTATAATACTCGTGTCGGTTAAAACTGTTACATGCAAATCTTGTGAGGAGCACAGTGCACTTGCATATGGGTAACAAACAGATTTTAAAAAAAAATGAGAATGACATTTTCTCACATCAGATGAACAACAACACATTACTAGTGCAATAATCTTACAGTAGCCCAATTGATGTACATCCCATTTCTGTGCAGACAATTTCATTTTCTTTTTTTACTTCGGTAATATAAACATAAATTTTCCTTGTTCATTCAGTTAACAAGTAGTTTTTTTCAAACACAAAATCGCTGACAATTTAAAAATTAAAATAAGAAAACATCATACGCCGAATTGACAAACAAAAAAAGAGCTGCAATTATAACCCGCACTCTGTTACTCAACAACATGAACTAATAAAGCGATTCTGCATTCAGTTGCAAGCAAACAAAGCGCCAAAACACCTCTCAAATATGAAGATGAATAATTAATTGTCCAACGCTTTTTTAGCTTTAGATACGTTTACGTTCATTGAACAAACAAAATTAGTAAAACATCAAATCAAAACAATAAACGCTTCAATCAAATTAAGGCATCACAAATCCACAATCCACATTTGCATTAATTTAAAAATACCACACGCACACACACAAACAGAAACAGAGAGTGGATTAATGAAGCGCGTATACCTTCAATCTACGGATTCGATTTAATACGACACGCAGCGTGAAGTGAGGAGATTGAATTTTCCCCAGCTGAAATTGAATCCTCCTTTTTTTATATCGCCTCAAATCACCTCGCCTAATTCTCCTGTGTGCTTAATGCTTATATTCGTAGAACAAATTCCAATAAACAGTAATAAAATAATAATAAAAACATACGAACGACTGTGTGTTTGCGTGTGTGCGGTCTTTTTTCGCGTGAAAAAATGGAGACGGATAAGTTTAACAGACGAGGAAAAGAGAGACCCAATGGAAACAGCTTACGTACAAAGCGGAGGAATAAAGAAAATGAAAATAAATCAGGATTTTTTTTTTCCTTTTTATTGTTCTGGTTTTTGGATTTTTTTTTATTTTCCTTTAACTAGGAGAAATTACTTAGATGCTTGGATATAAAAAGTTTTGGTTTTAATTAGATTTTTTGGTTTGGGTTGGTTAAATTTAAAAAAATTGATATGATTAATTATTAGTGTGTATATTAAAATAAAATAAAATAATATTTAAAATTTCTTAATAAATATGCATAGTTTCATATACATATAATAAATATTATTTAAAATAAAATAAATAAAAATATGAAATATTTGTTAAATGAGGAGAAATTTAATTTTATACTTATATGAGTAGAAATTATATATATATATATATATATATAAAGTTTTATTCAAAAATTGTGATTTGTGGACTCTTTAATAGTTAGGCTAACTGAAGCCATGTGTTATTAATGATCATCATAGATTTTATTCCTAAATAAGTAGAAATGATTGTGGCTGTGTTTGGTAAATCACATAAACTAGCTTATAGCTTATTTGATTAGCTTATAAGCTCCCTGTATACAAATAAGCTTCGGTTGGTAGGACGACTTTTTTAAAAAGTTCGAGCTTATCTCATAAGCTACTTTAGGTAGCTTTTCAAATAAGCTATTTGATTTTTTAATTTCAGCTAGCTTATCAGCTAATTTTACCAAACACTTTTATCATATAAGCTAGCTTTTCAGCTATAAGTCATAAGCTATAACCTATAAGCTAAAAAATTACAAATAAGCTATGACTGTGTTTGGTAAGTCAAATAAACTAGCTTATAGCTTATTTGGTTAACTTATAAGTTCCTTGTATTCAAATAAGTCTCGTTTGGTAGGACGAGCTTTTTTAAAAAACTCGAGCTTATCTCATAAGTTACTTTAGGTAGCTTTTCAAATAAGCTAATTGAATTTTTTATTTCAGCTAGCTTATCAGCTAATTTTACCAAACACTTTTATCATATAAGCTAGCTTTTCAGCTATAAGCCATAAGCTATAAGCTATAAGCTAAAAAATTACAAATCAGCTATAAGCTAGCTTATCACCAATCAGCTAGCTTATCAGATAGTTTTACCAAACATAGCTTGTATTAAGAGTCAAAGCATCACAGCTAAATTATGTTAGACAATATTTATTGTTACTCCTCAATCCTTTGGTTTAATCTTTATTTTCACCCAAATTTAAATATGTATTTAGGTTATTATTCCTAGAAAAGAAAAGGTTAACCTATTATGCAGTATATTATAGTATTTTTGTAGTATTTTCAAATTTTTTTAATATTGGTTGAACTGATCGATGAGTTATACTTTTCGAACAAATAACTCGTCGAACAAAGTGAAAATTTTATAGAACAAAATATCATGCTTTTAAAATGACATAAATATTTACTTTAAGTTACTTTTTTCAAAATGTGTGGTAATTATTTGGGGAAATTAATTACGCATTCGACGAAAGTGCACAATGTTTTTTATTTTAATGCCATAGATTATCGGTTCACTTAATTTGCCCCCACAGCTACGTTTTCTCATTACTAACTAATCCACCTGCTCTGATTTCTATATTTGTGAGAATACAATGTGAAGTAACGTTGTTTATTGTGCCTAATTTGGTTTGATTTTCTTAATCTATATTTAGTTTTTCCAGTATGATGATTAAAAGGTTCAATATCTATATCTATATCTATATCTATATATATATATAAAGAGGTTGTTGGAAAAATACATTAGAAAGTTTGACCAAATAAATATAATGTTTGACTTATTATTAATGGAAAGTTCAAAAAAACACATGTGAATCTTTAGTAACAAAATCTAAATCCTATTTTTTTGGTAACAAATTTAGAGACAAAATTTGAATCCCATATTTTTTGTATCATATTTTATTTTTTTTACCAAAATTTAAATCATATCTTTTCTGGTAACAAATTTGGAGATTCTTATGTAAAAAATGTGTCAATTATTTATGAAAATAATTCTAAATACAAATTAATTTAAAAACCGTACAAATTGGATACAAATTTAGGAAGCAAATAGTTGTATAATTCTTAACAAATTCTTCTAATCTTATTGAAGAATTTTTTCTTTCAAAAAAATTGTGTAAATTGTATAAAACCACGTGCAATTTTTATTTTAAAATAAAACTGATATTTGGATGGGATGTACATTCAAAATTGTGTCCACGTTTTTTGGTAACAAAAGCGATTCATCATTAATATTTAAAGTCACCTTATCTAATTATTTAGTAATTCGTGTGGACTTGGTAGAGATGGTTTCTTATTTGCGTTGATCTGTCTGATAGCTGTATAATCCTATTTTCTGAAATAATTTTTTGGAGTGGGGTGATGTTGCGTTTCAGCTGGATATATAGTTGATGATGTCCAACTCTGTTCGATTGGTATTTCCTTCGTTGATAAATGGGTCAGGGAAGAGCAGTTGGGATTTGGCTATTCTATTCTGTTTGGCCAGATACTAGGTTATGCATGCTTTACTGATATCATTGTGGATCTTTCGGTTGCTGTCAAGAATTACTCTTTCTCGATCTAGATTTTTGAGATTAAGATCGTCACCTAGTTTCTCGATCCAGAATGAATTTGGGGGCGTCAACTTTGTTTTTTATGGTCAAAGATCTTGGGAAAGAAGCCCACATGGAAGATCGGTTCCTCTTTTTCCATTAAGAAAAGCTCACGAGCCTTACCGAAAGTTCAGATTGATGATGATGTGGACTTCATTGATGAGGACAGCCTCTTGACTGAAGAGGACCTCAAGAAACCCCAATTACCACCTGGTTAGCCTTTCATTGTTTTCTTCTTACAGTTTTATCCTCTGGCCTCGGAATACTGTCTTATGGGCTTAGATTGGAATTTGATGCATGCAGTGGGTGATTGTGAAGTTGGGAGCACAAAGAAAGCTTGCAAAAATTGTACTTGCGGACGAGAGGAAAAAGTGGAGAAGCTTGGACTTACAATGGATCAGCTGGATAATCCTCAATCTGCTTGTGGAAATGTATGTCTAGTTCACATGTCTGATATGCTAAGGGTGTGTTTGTTTATCAAAAACTCATTTCATACTCAAAATTTAACTCAACTTTAACTCAACTCTACCATTCTCAATATTATCAATATAATTAAATAATATCAATCAATCATTCTTACACATCATATAAATCTTAATTTATTATTCATCCACCAACATAATTTTAACTAACTATCAACAACAACAACAACATAGTCTTTTAGTCCCAAGCAAGTTGGGGTAGGCTAGAGATGAAACCCAAGAGAACCAATGGTAAGAGAAACACAAAAAGAGCTCAAAACAAAAGGAAGAGATTGGAGCAAAAGAGAAAGGAGCAAAAGTCACGGTTCTGGCACGTTGATTGCTAGCCTCCAAGCACTCCTATCCACTACTAAATCCTTGGAGATACTCCAATCCTTAAGGTCTCTCTTAACCGACTCTTCCCAAGTGAGTTTAGGCCGACCTCTACCTCTCTTTACATCATCGACCCACTATAGAACTTCCCTACGCACTGGTGCATCAGGACGCCTTCGTTGGACATGTCCGAACCACCTCAGCCGATGTTGAACCAATTTCTCTTCAATTGGAGCCACCCCGACCCTATCTCGAATATCCTCATTCCGGATTCTATCCCTTCTTGTGTGCCCGCAAAACCAACGCAACATACGCATCTCTGCTACACTTAGTTATTGGACATGTTGCCTTTTTGTAGGCCAACATTCAGCACCGTATAGCATCGTCGGGCGAATCGCCGTCCTATAGAACTTACCTTTTAACCTTTGTGGCACCCTCTTATCACAGAGAACGCCCGAAGCTTGACGCAATTCCAACCAACCGACTGCAATTCTATGCCTAGCATCAACATCAATGCCGCCATCCTTTTGTAGCATCGATCCTAAATACCGGAAAGTCTCCTTCTTGGCCACCACTTGCCCGTCAAGGCAAACGTCACCATCATCATGTATAGCCATGCTGAAAGCGCACGTCATGTACTCGGTCTTCGTCCTACTAAGTCTGAAGCCTTTCAACTCTAACGTCATTTTTCTCATGCTTTTACATTAAATCAACTTTAAATATTTTATTTTAAATATTATTTTAATATAAATCAAAACTCCACTAACAACTAACTATACAACTTTTTTGAAAATTAACTCGTTACTAATATTAACCGAATTTATTTATATACAAACACGCCCTAATTCCGCTGGTCTTGAGTTTAGAAACGCCGCTCATCCCTTTTGCATTTTTTAAATGTTATTTTCCCACAGGTCCATTATTTATTAGCATTTTTTATTCTTTTATGATTCTGCCTTTAGTTTTTAATTTTTATGCAATCTAAACTTGTTTAATATTTGCTCGGTGCAGTGTGGTCTTGGTGATGTTTTTGGATGTGGTACATGTCCGTATAATAAGGGCCTTCCTCCATTTAAGCTAGGCGAAAAGGTAAGTGCAGCGTAGTAAAACAACCTCATGAGGTTCCCTTTTTTTTTCCTTGTATCATACAGTTCTTTGCCTCTCAAAATAAAAAAGGAAAAAGAAAGGAAACGTAACTGATGCTGGCACGTTGGTTTTTACTTGCTGCAGGTTGCTTCATCGGGGAACTTCTTTGCAGCCGACATTTAACTCCAAGAAGCTGAAGCTCGCAAATTCATGAGAGTTGGTATCTTTATTGTCTATTGTGGTTATATTTTAAAACTATAGGGGATGTTTGTGTGAGGCACTAATTAAGAGTGTGATTGGATATATAGATTTGTTTGGTTTTTTGTTAATCATAGTTAATTTTGAAAAATGTGGTATGATTAGTTGTTAGGGAGAGTTTTAAGTTTAAATTAAAACCAGATTTAAAATAAAATAATTAAAACTGATTTGATGTGAAAGTAGAAAAAAATAATTAGAAATGATGGTTAGCTAAAGTTATGTGAGTGGATGAATAATGAATGAAAGTTGATGTGATGTGTAAGAATTGTGCATTGATATTATTTAATTATCTTGATAATATTGAGAATGACTGTAGGATTGGGTTAAAATTGAGTTAAATTTATAACTTTTACATTTTGCATTCAAAATTTGTCGTGAAAAATGGAGTTTGGAGTTAATAGGCATGTAAGCTTGACGTTTCTAGTAAATTTTGAATCTTGCTACATCAGTCTTGAAAGCTCTTTGCTCGTATTGTCATGATTATGTCTTCAAGATTCTTATTCTGAGCTGAATTAGTCGACATCGCCATATTTATTTACCAATTCTTGCTTAATCATGTATTGACAATATTTGGATTGTTGATTTTGGTAATATTATGAGAACGAGAGGAGTAATCGATGCTTGTTATATGTGTATTTTAGCCAACACATTCTGTAATATTATGAAAATTGTGTAAATTGTATAAAACCACGTGCAATTTTTATTTTAAAATAAAACTTATATTTGGATGGGATGTACATTCAAAATTGTGTCCACATTTTTTGGTAACAAAAGCGGTTCATCATTGATATTTAAAATTACCTTATCTAATTATTTAGTAATTGGATCGTGTGGACTTGGTAGAGATGGTTTTTTATTTGCGTTGATCTGTCTGATAGCTGTATAATCCTATTTTCTGAAATATTTTTTTGGAGTGGGGTGATGTTGCGTTTCAGCTGGATATATAGTTGATGTGTCCAACTCTGTTCGATTGGTATTTCCTTCGTTGATAAAAATGTTGTGTGATTCATTTCTGTGGAGAAAAGCTTTCTTATTCCTTTCGGAAAAAGGGTTTACAGCTCATTAGAGTACCTTTACAACATGGCCTAGAGTGTTAGTATATTTTGGTGTGTCATTGCAGGTGTAATGTCAGTGGAATCCTCGTCCGTTGATGGTATTGTCTCTCTGTAAATCACTTGACTTTCCTTGCGAACAGTTGCTTGCTAACATCTCAAGAATTCTAAAACCTGATGGAACTATCCTTCTTTATTCGACCCCTGAAACTTCTCAGGGGCACAAGGTACTCGTTTCTTACTTGGGATTTCTATTCATCATTAATCATTTTATGTTTTTCTTTTCGGTTGAGCATATGAAAAAAAATTAGTTCGGGTTCTCTTGAAATCCTCTTCTGGTAGCCATTCGTTCCGTGTAAATTTTCTCAGTCTAGACTTTTCTACAGACTTGATCGATTGCTACTGTTTCTTCTTGAACATGCTCTTTTATTTTGAAATTCCACTCTCTTTTTCTTTCATTGAGATGTCCATTTTAGTAGCTGAAGTTAGCATATTAACATGTGATTTGAAATTTATGCTTTTCATGCTAAACGTATAAATGGGTCAGGGAAGAGCAGTTGGGATTTGGCTATTCTATTCTGTTTGGCCAGATACTAGGTTATGCATGCTTTACTGATATCATTGTGGATCTTTCGGTTGCTGTCAAGAATTACTCTTTCTCGATCTAGATTTTTGAGATTAAGATCGTCACCTAGTTTNAAAAAAAAAAAAAAAAAAAAAAAAAAATTAAATAAAAAAAATAGCAGCCAATAAAAAAAAATCTAGATGGGTAGCTGCGTTAGCACCGGTAGCAGCGAGCGTAACAGCCAATCCCCCAGCTGCCACGTGTCAGATTCCAAAAAACGAGACGGCGAATGAAGTTCTCCACGAAACAATCCGACCAAACGGCGCCGTTTACAGGGAACCCTCAATGACGTCGGCGGCAGCGGGAATATATCCGGATCGGGTTGGATCCAGACCCGGCCACAGCGGGAGAAAAATGGGCCGTATTGGAGCAAAATCGCCGGGGAAAATGGACGGGTCGGGAGGGAGGACCCGAAAGGCGGCGGGTTCTAAAGGCGAGATGACGTGGTCACCGACAGGCGGTGAGCTGCTTGATATTACGTCACATTCGTCCATGGAATGTTATATTTTTCTCTAGAAAAAATTGGATTTATTTGATTTTAGGTAGGAAGTGCCATTCTTGGATTTGACGAGGGTATTTTCGGTAGTGAAAGTTTGATGGGCCAACATTCTCTTTTGAGGATTTGTTGTATTGTAAGAGAAAAGGCCCAATGTGGAAGATATTTTTATGTTTGAGAAAATTACCTGGTGGTGAGACATAATAAATTTTTCTCCTTAAATACAATATAACTTTTTTATTTACAAATTAATCTTTTCCTTACCACTAGAACGTGAATTTTATTTTCTTAATGCCCTTCGGATATATTCTTCATCTTCCCCATCGCAATAGACTCATTCAATTTCTCTTCTCTCTTCCCTTTTCACTTCACAGAACACACGCACACACCAACACTTCATATATATACAACCTCCCATCCCGTATCTTATTCTCTCTTCTTCTAAGATCGGTCAATTGAGAATGGCGAGCACCGGAGAGAGGTAAAACAATCAAGCTTGGTGGAATGGGTTCGTCGAGTACAAATTCACGACGATCAAGTAACTGTGAGGGGCGTAATCTAAGTGGTGAAAAACGGAGGAGAGAGGCGATTTCGATGGCTCCGATTTTGGTGTTTTCCAACGGCGGTGCGAAGGACAGAGGTAGATCTAAGTTATAAAAAAGCTCTATGTTATAAATAGGGTTGCTCACGTTATTGCTGACGAAATTTTTGGGCGTTAGGGTTGGAAATTTTCATTGTGCAAATAACATTGATTTTGGTTTTGGTTTTCATTGCGGATTTTGTTTGAAATTTTGCTGTGTTTTCCTTTGATTTTTGAAACGACTTTGAATTTTTCGCTCATGAATAAAATTCTTGTCGTATCCCGACACTAATGGGTTCATTACAGAAAATTGTTGATGGAATGCGGGTTGAGATGGTGTTCGACGATTTGCCGAGATCACAATGCTTGTTGGCGTACCGCCCTTTCGGATCTCACCTGCTGGCATTACATTTTTAATATGTTGAGCATATATCTGATGTAAACTCGGTTGAAAGAAAGATTCAACATTCATTTTATGTTGGGTTTGTTTTTAGTAAATTTGATGTTTATCGATGCATTATGGTTAATGATTTTTTTTTGTCTTATTTTTTTATCTACGGTTGTTATGTTAATTTGATGTTTATCTATGATTGTTAATTGGTTTTTTTTTAATATTATTTGTAGTTTATATTCAATTTTTATTTTTATTTTTTTGCATTGAATTATTTCGTTTTTTTAATTTTTCTGATTTAGTAAGAAAACAGATGATAAACTTAAGATAATAAAAAGTTTTAAATAAATTTTAGAGGTATGATAAACTTAAGATAAACGTAAGATAAACTTAAGATAATCAATATTTTTAAATAAATTTTAGAGGTATGATAAACTTAAGATAAACTTAAAACAATCAAAAAAAAAAATTATAGACAAAATTGGTGTCGAATTGATATAGAAAAGACATTGTAGATTAGAACTGGAATGATTTTAAAAATCTCATCCTTTTGGAAAAGTTTTTTTAAGGACCGTCGACACGTCCTTTAGCCTTTATGTTTTGTTGGTCTTTGCGGTACATAGTCATAGTCATAGAGGTGCCAACAAAGGTCGGGTCGACCCATTGATTAGACCATTTTTATCTACAACTCAATCCAACTCAATTAATATAATAATTAAAACTTAGTTCTCTCTTCTCCACTTACGCAACCTAACATTTCAACTCAAATTATTTTTATTCCCAGCTCAACACAATTTAACATATTTATTTTATTTTTATTTATTTAAAAATTGGCATTGTGTTTTAAAACCAATCAAATGTGACCTCTATAAAAATAGAAAGAAAAATTACGAATTTTAGTATTTTTTGATTAATTTTTTTAACACAAAAAAAGATACTTATCCAATAGAAGTAGGTCAAGTGTCTCATTCCCAAGTTACAATCCGGTCGCGACTCAAGGTCACATTATGACCAGAGTCGCAACATTCTTTTTTTTGAATTATCAATGTTGTACTTTTTGCAATGATTAATACTAAACATACGTTCTATTTTATCATGGAACGAAATTGACAATTTATTAGCACATTATAAATCATACTTTTATCGGCATATGTTTACCAAAATTATGATTATTATGACGAAAATTGTAAGGGTGATTAATAAAGACAATAAAATATAATTCATACAGCCATTGACAAACTTAACCCTAAGACCATCTACAATGCATTGGGTCTATTAAAAAAAATTAATGCCACCTAAGAGCACCCATAGTGATTTGGGTTCATTCACAAAAGTATACATGTCACATAAGAAATAAACTCAGTAAAAAAAAAATGTGTACTCCAATGCAAGTGCAAGTAGATCGGGTCCTGCTTATGTGGCAGTAAGAAAAAGAGACTCAGTCTCCCTTTAAGTCTATTTTAGACCCAAGTAGCAACCTAGTCTCTTTGCATTGGGGTAAACTTTGTTAATTTTATACATTTTTGTCCATGTCATCCAAGACTTGGGTCTATTTACATATCACATATGCACAATTAGACTCAATGCATTGCAGATGCTCTAGAGCACAACTAAAAATGAACACGAAAACTTAATTACATGAAAATCTGATTCCCACTCCAAGCACAATTATGAATGCATCTCTCGATCAAAATTGTTCCTATTAATTTGGAGATATAATCACTCCATAATGAACCAGGTTTTTTTTTTTTTGTNATTTTTAGTATGATTAATTACATGAGGTACATCTCTAATAAAATCTTAGATTTTAGGTACAGATACAACAAAAATTGGTTCACTTGTAAAAATAAAATATTTTGTAAATATAAGAAGCGTGCAAAGATCCCTTGATTTTATTTTATTTATCTTTTCATTTTCCTTTTTTTTTCCCCAGATTGTTGGGCTGTTGGGCCTCCTCTTGTAGTTTGTTCAGTATTGGGCTTCTTATTCTAGTTTTTCGTGGGATGGTTCATTTGTTATGTCAAATATTGGGTAGGTCCGTGGTGGCAAATCTGTGCCCATATTACAAATGTGTATGAATGTTTGTGATTTGAAGGCTCACACCCCAATCCTTTTTTGGGTAAATAGAAAAAACTTAGAAAATTTTCGAAATTATTTTAGGGGGAATGGAAAAAGTAATTATAAATTAAAAATAAGTTACAATATATAAAAAATAAAGTATGTGACCCAAAACAAGTGATGGAACTTGGGAGTAGTGTGTGGGCATGTTGTTCACGTGTATAACATATATAATTTGAGTTCCAAGAGTTCTCAAATATTAGTATTGTTCGTCGAATATTTAGGGCGTGTTTGGATACGAGATAAAACCGTATTTTAATCGGTTTTAACCGTCTGAATTATTTTGTTTCTAAATTTCTAACTCAAATTTTAGCTCGATTCAACTCTACTCATTATCATCCACACGATTAAATGATACCAATTAATCATCTTCACATATCACATCAATTTTAGTTCACTATAATTCACTTACATAACTTTAATTGCATATCACTTTCAAAAATCTCTATCTATTTTTACATCACATCAACTTAAATTATTATTTTAAGTAATATTTAATTTCAAACTCAAAATAACTTATTCAATCAATTTTATTTACAATAATTCACTTTAACAAACCAACCTAATAATTCATACACAATCACGCCTATATACTTGAATTACCGCTTAAGTCGTCCTATTTTAGAATTATTTGTCATTCCTTACATAATTCCCGTGGTAATGTCATTGTCTTAAGTTGGAACAAAACGTAGAAAAGAACTGTAGAGACCGTGACCGTAGAGGATTCTCAATACACACAAACAAAAAGTAAGCAACAAAAGAATCTTTTATTATTTTCTTTGACCTATAGTTTTCACCTTTTATTGCTGACAGACAAGTTTTACACAAAAAAAGGACTTCTTTGATTTGATGTATCAATACAGGAATCTCAAACTCAATCCCTAGTTATTTTTTTTTGGAAAAAAAAAAATCCCTAGTTACTTACTATTGAGACAGAAGAAAAAAGAAAGAAAAAAAAAAATGCATTAAATATGGACTTAGGATTTTTTTTCTGTTTGTTTGTTTATATATAAGTTTATTGACCGTGGGTTTTTTATTTTTTTGTTTGTTTATATAAGCATGTCAATTAACTTTTTAGGCATGGCTAAAATGTTTCTTATTTGACAATCAAGTATCCAATCAAACTAACATTGAGTCTATAATATAAATGATAATAATAGAAATGTTCACCTACCATCAAACACGTTAATATGTGTCCACCAATCACGTGTCAGTATCTTATGATATTTTAATTGATATACTATTCACTTGATAAATTAATTGGTGGACTTATTAATCTGATCTCACCGAAGAGCTGGATTGATAATATAAATTGAGAATCGAGACTTCATTAATTCTTTCTCTAACTTATTTGACTTTTCGTTGAATTGAGATTGAAGAAGCTCTATATGTGCTGACATTAATCCATCTGGAGAAATTTGAAATCTTCACACATATTTTACTCTTTTTCTTAGACCAATTGAGGGTCGATTTTGTTCTGAGCTCGATTTTTTCTTCCAATCTACCGAACTTAAACAAGTTTAAAACACCAATCTTGAGTCGAATCTCGATTAATTTACTATGATTTTCCAATCTAATGTTGCATCTACATTTTTCATTGCCATATGATAATGAGATGCAAGTTTTCAAATTTTGTAGAGCACCACTTTGTTTACTGGTCACAGTATACACAACTGTGTTGTTTGTGGATTATGGAATTNACATGAATAACTAACCACCACTTGATAGTAAAGCAAATTAGCCCTTTTCAATATACCAAAAGATTTTATTTTATTATTTCCTATTTCTATTTTTTCTTTTTGCTCCTTTTCATTTTACCCTTGAGAGTTGAGACCCCCTTCTTATTTATACATATTGCAATCACTTATGAGGAGTCCTAATTCTTCTACACAAAGATTTTCTTCTCTCACCTCTCTCTTTAGCCAGCCATTTCTATTGAGTCCTCTTCTAATTTCTTGCCTGTATTTAAGGGTGGAAAAAATATATATATTTTTTTTTTCTAATGGGTTTGATTAGTAAGAGCTTGGGTTGGTTACATAATGTGGGCAAGAAACAGAGCAAAAGCTTGTACTTGAGAATAAGAGCTGAGATTAAAAGGGCTGTGAAAGGGAGCAAAAAGCAGGTGAAATTCCAATATGATCCCCACAGTTACTCTTTGAATTTTGATGATGGATTTGAATATCAAGAAACTGTGGGCTTTGAGGGAGTAAAATTCAAGGGGTGGCAAGAAAGGACTGTATGGGTTTATATTGTTTTTGCCTAGTCATATAGTTGATACTTTAAGCTGGAAAGGTTTTCACCTAATTATGGAGGGCTGCTTTGTTGCTCAAATTTCTTTCTTTTTAGTTTGCAGTGGCATGTCATCATGTAATTGGGGATTCAAGGTATGTAAATTAGGACTTGTAGGATTTGGAATGTGTGTGAGTGTGTGTGTTTGCAGAAATTTACATTACTGTTTTTAGTAACATTTTTACTTATTGTATAGCAACATATATATATTTTTGTTCCAAGAGTATGATGGATCTAGCGGTTTAACAGTTAGATTGCGCCCGACAAAACTTCGTCACATATTCATCATGAAAGCAGTAAAAATAGTGTTATGTAACGGTCAGGTCTAACGGTTAAGTCTTTTCAACAAATTTGTATACTTTCAAATTACAATGTCATGTTCTAAATGAACTATCGTGACATTTCGTCGGTGTAATGAAAAATTTAAGGGGTTGGATTCTCTTTATGGAGTCACCAATTATCTAGTATTTCATGGTAAAAGTCCACATTATCATTCAATATCTTAATTCAATTTGCAGAATCCTTATTTTCTATAAAAATTCCAAAATAAAACTTACCACAGAAAAAAGAAAAGGCACCCACACACAGTCATAGGCAAATTACATAATCTAGATAAAATGAACCAGCATAATTTCTTCAAAGATACTGTATAAGCTAATCCACAAACTAATCAAGATAGGGCAAAACCATTAACAAGGCAAAATAACTCCTAATTATTAGACTTGGGATGCAAAACAGTTTTGACTATCATAATCATTGGAACTTGTAAGAACATCCAGAGGCTAAAACCACAAACAGTCAACAATAACTCAATATGAAGAAAAAAAAAGTGCTTATAGATACAGATGAATCCCCGCTATTTTAACATTTCGAGCTTTTTTCCTTATAATTTAAATTACTTGAGCTCTCAAGCAGCAGGGTCTTCGAGGGTTGCAGTGGAGAAATCGGTAATTCGAGGATAAGTGGCTTTCTCGTCCAGCTGATTTTGAACCCATATAAGCATTTTCAACAAGCTTGGAAGCTTTGGATCTGTTTTAAGTGCG